AAAATAGAAAGAATCCACTAATCACTTCCTGAAATAAACCGCAAGCTGAAAACACTCAGGAATGTTATCACCAAAAACTAGACCTTTTAAATCAAAATCAAAATTACTGCAAGAAGACAGAAGGACAGAAAGAAACCTTAGTCAGGATCACATGCAGAAATTACTATAAAAGAGAGAATGTTTTGAAATAATATATTTCAAAATTCAAAAGACAAAAACATAACCAAAAAACCCCTGCAAAACCAAAGAGAGGGGAAAAATGGATCATTAATAGAAGACTTTCAAGCATTCCTGATGAAAAGACTAAGAACAAAGGAAATCTTTGAAATGCAAATACAAACAAAGGAATCAAAAAAATATAGAAAGGCAAAATACTCCATCAAGTTCCAAATTCTTAGTGTACTTTTAAGGATAGCTTGAAAATTTACTCAGACTTATGAAACCTCATGTATATTCAAGTGATTGGGAGGTGCTAAATGATGATAAAGCGCTTAATGGGAAAAGGAGACCAGAATCCTGTCAGAAAACTATTGTCTTCAAAGGTCACACAGAGAGTTAAGTGAGACAAACTCAGAACCTTTTTTTTTTTTCTGTTTTGTTGGTTTTCAGGGAGAAAAAAAGAATAATGAAAAAGGAATTTAAGCACTTACCATATATTAGTGTGCTAAATCCTGGGGGGCGGGTTGGTGGTGTGAGTGTGTGTGTGTGTGTGTGTGTGTGTTCACACATATACATATATACATACACATATCTACATATACATATATATCTACACACATATATACAGATATATTTACACACACGTGTAGAAAGAGAGAGAGAATTACTCACCCTCCAGTACCTTTAATTTTACTATGGGAGATAACATATAAAACTAAGTACATATGACATACAGTTATCCCTTCCACATAGTGACTTTCCACATCAAGGTTTCGTTAAATCAAAGGCTGGCATAAGAAATGGGAATTTTGGGGCGAGTTTTGCGGAAGACACAGATGACACACAAAGGCCAGGAGATGACACAGAAAAATTTTAGAAACTCAGAAATGCATAAAATATATGTATAGTATATTTACTTAACACTGGCCTGTCTATAGTCTATGACCAAATACTTAACCCAAATTTTACAATAAGGTACTGTAAACACTCCATAAAAGAAAAAGAAAAAATTTGGACTCCTCCGGTACAAAGGCCAAAAAACTTTACATGGATTTTTAAGATTGCAGGGGTGCTGCGCCCCTAACCCCCACAATGTGGAAGGGATAACTCTACATACAAAATAGAAGATCTCAAAAGGGAAGGCAACATGCCCTAAGGAACTGGAAAAGCTACCTGCAAAATGAACAGCCAATAAAAATCTATGGGGATGCCTAGAGGATTCTGGGAATAGGTCAGAAAACTTTTGGCTCTCCAAATTTCCTCCGCAAAAAAAGGCAACAATGCCTCAGAGTGAATGTGGAACAGCAGAAATAAACCCAAGTTGGGGTAAAGCAGTTGTCCTAAGACAATTTAAGAGGACCCCAGGAAAGACTCAACCTTCAGAGGTGGTCATTTGGCCTGAGTGAAGTACAAACAGCCTTAGGAGGCAGCTGGGTTGAAAGGCAGCCTCAGCCTCAGGAACATTCACATCGTGGACCGGGGTCAGATGGCTGAAAAGAAGATTGAAGGACCTTCCACTGTCCGGGGACTACAGGCACAGCTCTGCCTGCCAGATACCTCCCGGGCTATAGCTGCGGAGCAAAAGTGCTAGTGATGAGGGTGGGATCTAGACCCGAAAAAGGAAAAACCCTGGATTTTCCCACGTGTCCAAATCTCTGGCACTAGCCTGAGGCTATAATCCCATCGACTGGCCTTTCATTGTGTCTACACCCAATCTCCCAATTCTGTTCCCCTTAACCTAGCCTAACCCTCCATTGTCTTACCTCCCAATGGCCCTGGCCATTTCTCACCCTTAATCCTAGCTAGGCTCCATTCTCCCTCGGCCATATGGCCCAGGTCCCTGGCATTCTGTTACCTCATAGACTAGCTGGCCACTGCTAGATCCCTCCCATAGTCTTTCTGTATATATGGTCCATCTTGTCTCCATTAAGATGCTCAGATTCTTAGAATCTAGCCACTAGGTCACTAATGTTCAGACTCCTTAAGAGCCTGCCCAATATGACGGATGTTCTAATAAACCTTATCTTTGGCTGAAAGAAGGCAGGACCCGTTTGTTGTGATTTTGGGGTCCCAGCACCCCTAGACTCCTAAACCTCAACACTAGCACACACCTGATGAGTGCTGTGGCAGAGGGCTGGGAACCCTACTGGCTGTGGGTATGCAGGAGAGCAGAGCCCCTGGTTTCAGTTCCAGGGCAGCCACTGGAACAACCACAGGGAGCAAGAACGTTTGCAGGACAGCACATCTAGGGGCCCTAGCCATGCATTAGGGGTTGAGAAAAGTCTCCAAGATTGGGCCCTGGGACAGAGCTCAGAAAATAACAGTGAGAAGGTCCTGAGGCCTAGAACATCATTTCCCACACCTCAAGCCTAAAACCTGACTATAATAATAAGCTGCTAATAATAAAATAAAACAAAACAAAACAAAATAAAAGTGAGTAAATAAACAAAAGAGAAAGAACCCAACCATAGAGAGCTACTATGGGGATAGAGAAGCTCTGGGTTCATATTCAGAATAAGATAGTGGAGCTAAAAAAAAGTCACTCCTTTTTCAATGAGAAATGTTAAATGGTCACAAGCACAAAAAGAGTTTTTGTAAGAACTTAAAAAGGACTCTAAAAATCAAATAAGAATGATTGAGGAAAAATTAGAAAAAATTACATAGAATATTCATAATTATTTTATAATTATAATTTTATATTAAGAATTTTTGTAATTGTATATATAGTAAACTCTTATGTTTTATAATTATACAATATACATGTTAACTTGGAGTTGGGGATAAATCATCATTGTAGTAATTGTAAGCACTTAATGAATAAATCTGAAGGAATATTCTAAGTAGTAGGTTAAATTACTCTAAGGGTTCATAACTCATTTTTTGTTTGTTTTTGAAAGGGATTTGCACAACAAAAAACATTGGGAATTACTGGACTTCATGATAGCTGAGATCCATTCCAACTTTCAAATGTGTGAATTCTATGTTACTAAAGATTATTTTTGTGTTTTAGCATGGTGTTGATCATAATAATAATAGCTATCAATTATAGAGTGCCTACTATGTGTCAGGTCCTGTGCTAAGTGCTTTACAAATATTATCTCAGTCAACCCTTACAAGAACCCTAGAAGGTAGGTGATACAATTATCCCCATTTTATTGATGAGGAAACTGAGGCAAACAGAAGTGAAGTGACTTGGACAGGGACAGAAAGCTAGTAAGTGTCTGAGGTCACATTTGAACTCAGTCTTCTTGATCTCAGGTCCAGATATCTAGCCTGTGCCACCTAGCTGCAATCATTATTTGAAATATTCATTATTTACTATTGGACTACTGCTTAGATTTTGCTAATCTAAGAAAGTCTAGTCGATGAATGTCAATTTCAATAAATTCCATATATATCTTATCAAAATAAAAAAATGTTCATTGTAAAATTTGTGCTTGTAGTTTTTGTTGTTGAAGAACAACATTGTTGAACAACAAAGGTTTGTTTATGAAACAAACCATTCCTTTTACCTAGACACCTGTGACCATGAAATAATGCAGTTAGCATTCTGAAGTATACCTAAAAAGCCAATTCTTTTTCCCACTTACAGAATTAAAGAATTTTGGTTAATTGGTCATAATTAATAAATGTATAATAAATTAATAAATAAAGTCCAAGCCAGAACCAAAAAGCATCTCTTCTCCAACATACTTGATACCTTTTTCTTGCTATGAAAGTAGCATCACACCAAAGCAACAACCCAGACTCATACATGGAGACGATTGCAAATACTTTGAATTTTTTGGCCACACTTGCATTTGGGATCGAAGGACCATTACTAGTGTTACTTTTTTTTCAAACTAAAGATTTCTAATTGGGAGGGAAGAAAGGCATAGTAATAATAAAAATTCTTATCCCATGACCACTGGAAAAAAGGCATTAACACAAAGGAATTGGAAATTGAGGGGATGTCCATCAATTGGGCGATGGCTGAACAAGTTGCGGTATATGAATGTAATGGAATACTATTGTGCTGTAAGAAATGATGAGCAGGTAGATTTCAGAAAAGCCTGGAAAGACTTACATTAACTGATGCTGAGTGAAGTGAGCAGAACCAAGAGAACATCGTACACAGTAATAGCAACATTGTGTGATGACCAACTTTTCTAGACTTAGCTCTTCTCAGCAATACAACGGTCCAAGACAATTCCAAAAGACTCATGATAGAAAATGCTATCCACATTTAGAGAAAGAACTATGGAATCTGAATGCAGATGGGAGCATACGATTTTCTTTTTTTTGTTGTTGTTGTCTTTTTCATGGTTTTCCCTTTTGTTCTGATGCTTCTTTCACAACATGACTAATGTGGAAATATGTTTAATATGATTGTACATGTATAGCCTATGTTACATTGCATGCCATCTTGGGGAAGGGGAAGAGAGGGAGAGAGAGAAAAATATGGAACTCAAAATCTCATAAAGTGAATTTTGAAAACTATCTTTACATGTAATTAGGAAAAATAAAATACTATTAAGTGGGGGGAAAGCATTAGCACGAAAAGATGGGTATGATTAAATAAAAATAAGTTTTTAATCCATGAATGAGGATAAAAAACTTGCTATCTATGGACTAATTCATTGATCATCCTTTATCCTGTTTTTTCCTTTTTCTTATTTAATGACATATGTGCCCGTTCTGAATTCCACAAGATGGCAGCACTCAAGCAAGTTTAGGATCTTGAGAATCCATTTTTTTAAGCAAAAAGAAACCAAAACACTGGAGCAGAACTACAAATCCCAAAATGCACTTTGGAGCCTTATTTTTCTCCTGGGCAAAGATCGTAGGCATGTAGCCAGTGCCGCGTATTTGCCTTCCATAAGTGATTTGCCTTCATGTGGATTTAAGTGGAAATTTGTGGGGAAAAGTGATTCAAAGATTAAGAGGTAAGTTTGCATTACTTTTTACTTTATCTGTTGTCCAGTTATTAACCTTTCAGGCTAAATGGGCATTATAGTGCTGTATTAGATCTCTAGGGTTCTAGGCCTAAGGGAAATAACTTGTTTTCTCTTATACCAACGGAGCAGATTTCATCCACTGTACAATAATGTGACATAACCTGAGCTGAGCCTTTGCTACTAAGGGTATGTACCATCCATGTAAATTGGCTTCCTGTCCCGTTCCCCAAGCAACTAATGAACCAAAGCTTTCTTGCTAGCTTTTCAAGTCTCCGGCTGGAAGCCACATTTCCAGATGATCTAATGTCCTACTTCATCAAGCAGCCTAAGGGAGTCTGAAAAGGGCTCCTTCAACTTTCATTCCCATATTCCTACAGTTTCTTGATATCATTAACCATTCTCTTCTTACCCTTCCATCTTGGAAGAAGTTATTTTTTATTAGCTAAAGTCATTCTTAGAGGCAGTTAGGTGTAGCACAGTGGATAGAGCACCTTGAGTCAGGAGGACCTTATTAGACACTTATTAGACCCTTATTAGTTGTGTGACCCCGGTCAAGTCACTTAACCCCATGACCTCCAAAAACCAAACAAAAATAAAGTAATCCTAAATTCTATACCTTTGATCTCATCCTCTCCCATCTCCTCCAAGACCTTATTTGCTGGCCACTGGCATGTCCAGGGTGGGCAGCGTCAAATATGTAATGCAAAATACATTGCTTTAGATAGTGCAAAGTGTTGCCAGAGGCTTTGCCCCAGCAATCAGCCCTTCTCTCATGCTTATTCATTCTCTTGCCCCTCCACTGGCCACCTCCCCTTGTCCCAAAGGGAATCTGGCTCCCATTTGTCTATGGGCCCCAGCTCCCCAGCTCCCTTGGAAAGCCCTAGCCCCACCTTTTGCCCCACCTTTTGATCTTATTCTGATGCCTTTCAAACTTCTTCCTTCCAGTTCTTCTCATCCATTCCCATTGTCTCTTCAATCTCTCAGACATTCCAATCAGAATTCTCACCTAGACCCTTTTCCCAGCCTCTCCTCTGGTCACCCAAAGTTACTTTAGTGTATGTAAGATCCACCCTGGCCCCCATTTAAACGCTGAGACTCTCTCATGCTCAAAAGGCTGAGACTTTCTCATGCCGGCTCATCCCTATGGCCATTACTAATGTTCAGATTCCTTAAGACTCTGGCCTATATGGTTTATCTCTAATAAACTTTTTCTCTGGCTGAAAGAAGATTTGGGTTGAATTCAGGCAGGGTCCGCGTCGTGATCTGGGGGGTCCCAGCACCCCTAACCCTCTACACCTCATCACCATCAGTTTATTTGTTCAGTCCTTTTCAGAGTCCAACTCTTCATGACCTAATTTGGGGTTTTCTTGTCAAGGATACTGGAATGACTCGCTATTTCCTTCTCCAGCTCATTTTACAGATGAGGCAACGAAGGCAGACAGAGGTTAAGTAAGTTGCCCAAAGTCACCTAGCTAGTTAAGTGTCGGAGACCAGACTTGAATTCAGGTCTTGGTGACTCTAGGCCAACCACCTTGCTGCCCTGACCCTGACCTCTCTTCTAAACTCCAGGCTCCTATCCCTACCTACAAGGTTCCCTGGTGCCTCAAACTCAATGTGCCTCAAACCAAACTCAGCATCTTCTCCCCAAAACTGGTGCCTCTGCCTAATCTATTACCTTGTGTTTCTTCTTAATCCTTACCACCCCTCCCCCAAAGTGTTAAAGTCCTATTTATCCATTAAAGTCAACTCTATGTTCTCCAGGAAACTCCCTGATTCCTCCCTAAACTCTCAAGGTAATGACCTTCATTTCCATAGGCCTTTGTTTGCACTGTTTGAAGCCTATTATCTTCCATCTGTACAACCCTCCCACCTTGGAGCTGCCCTATAAAACCTGGGAGCAGCAGTTATTCCTCCTGGTGAAGAAGCCCTAGCCCTTTATTGTTGCAGTTGAAACAACTTTGGGAGGAAAGCCTAAGAAGCCGGGGTAGGTAAGGATTGCCTTCGGACAGCAGGGTGGTGGTGGGCTGGGGTCCTTTGATTCTTTTTTTCTAATTAATTAATTTATTTTTAGTTTTCAACATTCACTCCCATTGGATTTTGAGTTTAAATTTTCTCCGCCTCCCTTTTCTCCCCTCCTCCCAAGGATCTGATAGAGGCTCTAATTATACGTTCATAGTAAGCATACTTTCACTTAGAACTAATAGAAAGGACCGTAAGAAAGAAGAAACAAAATAGAAGAAAATAAAAGAGCAAATAGCATGCTTCCATCTGCATTCAGACTCTGTAGTTCTTTTTCTGGATGTGGATAGCATTTTCCATCATGAGTCTTTTGGAGTTGTCTTAGATCCTTGCATTACTGAGAAGAGCTAAGTCTATCAAAGTCAATCATCACACAATGTGGCTGTTATTGTGTACAATGTTCTCTGGTTCTGCTTACTTCACTCAGCATCAGTTGATATAAATCTTTCCACGTTTTTCTGAAGTTCACCCGCTCATTATTTCTTATGTAATAGTATTCCATCGCATTCATATACCACAACTTGTTCAGTCATTCCCCAATTGATGGGCATCCCCTCAATCACCACAAAAAGAGCTGCTGTAAATATTTTTGTACATGTGGGTCCTTTTCCTGTTTTTACGATCTCTTTGAGATCCTTTGACTCTTTTCACTTTGGGGTTGTGAGGGAAGGGGTTGGTGGACAATTCTTCGGACAAGGTAGCTCAGAGGATGAGTCCTATACACATCCTTGAGAAATTTCTCTGTGGCTACAAATGTGATAGGGTTCTGCTTCAGAGTTTAGACATGGATCTAGGCACAGAGAGGCAGCCAGGTGGTGCAGTGGATAGAGCACTTGGAGTCAGGAAGACCTGAGTTCAAACCCAGCCTTGGACACTTCCTAGCTGTGTGACCCTGGGCAAATCACTTCACCCCTGTTTGCCTCAGTTTCTTCATCTGTAAAATGGGGATAATAATAGCACCTACCTGTGAGGAGATAGAATTTGGGAAGATCAATTGGAATAATACTTGTAAAGCACTTAGTACAGTGTCTGGCACAAAGTAGGAGCTATATGAATATTGTTATTATTAGCTGTGTGATTTGGGGCAAGTCACTTAACTTCTATTGGCCTCAGTTTCCTCAACTGTAAAACAAGGATAATAGCACCTACCTCCTGTGGTTGTGAGGATCAAACAAGATAATATTTATAAAGCTAGGCTTAGTACAGGTACAGTGCCTGCCACATAGTAGGCACTCAATAAATAAATGCTTGTTTTCTTCCTCCTCTCACAGATCTCACTGAGAGGGAAGTTTGGGGTGGGAATGCCTAGAACAGGGGTGGGGAACCTGGGCCCTAGAGGGTCATACCTCTGGCCTAGAGGATTAGTCTACTCCTGGAGAGAGTCTAAGTTTTTACCGAAGGGCTTTGGATAGAATCACCTACTCCGAGTGTATGCTATGTTGCCTTTAGATTCACATGTGTCTTAATGTCTCTAGATATCCTGCAGACGGCACCATGGGTCGACTTGATGGCAAGGTCATCGTTTTGACTGCTGCTGCACAAGGAATTGGTCGGGCAGCTGCTTTAGTAAGTTTCATATTGTAATGGTAATAATAGCATTAGTATAGCACTTTAAGGTTCAGAAAGCAGTCTATAAATATTTCATTTTATCCTCCCAATAATCCTGGGAGGTAGGTGTTATTATCCCCGTTTTACAGTGACACTGGCTTCCTGGCTGTTCCATGAACAAGATGCTCTTATCTCCCAACTTCAGGCATTTTCTCTGGCCATCTCCTGTGCCTGGAATGCTGTCCCTCCTTTGCTCTCTTGAGAATGAATATTACAGTTGGGGGCGGGGCCTAGACCTATTCTAATGAACTTTGATTATGTCATTTATTTCTAAATTACCCCCAGCCTTGGGCAATCTAATCAAAGAATTTATCCCTATGCAACCAGAGTAGAACAAAATGGGATTAAGTCCTTGTCAAGTTGGGTAGATTTCGACCAAGACTGAGAAGAGTTAATTCAATCTCATTATCAGTAATGTCCTTCAAAAGATTGAACTTTGAAATGAGGACCATAGAAAAGCGGACAGCTCTGGAATCATTGGTTATTAATAATTTCTCTGCGAGATGTGGAGATAGGTTTTGACATGTTTATTAGATTAATTTTTTCTTTTGGAAAGTCACCATTACTTTGCCTGAGCTTCTCTGTGTAAAATGAGAGTAAAATATTGGCCTTTAGAACCATTTTGAGGACAAGTGGGATTGTGTAAATTAGCCAGAGGTGAATGTGGCTTTGCCCCAGGATGCCAAAGGGAGGAGGATAGGGAAAGAATTCTTCTAGCAGTAGTAATTATCAGTCATTGTTATTATGTTGCATGATTTTGTTTTACCACTATCTTCCCAAACCCTGTGGATAGTCCAATCAGCACAAATTTTACCAGGTTGGGGGAGGGGAGGTGGGGTGGAGGTACTACCTTTTTTTATCTCATCTCCTGGCAAGACTGCGCATACTGATTTTACCATCTTCTGGGTTACCAATACATCCTGTTCCCCTAATATCACACCACCTCCACCCCCTCCCTAGTCACACTGTTCTGTGTTTACCATCATTGGTGTCCTCCAACTAAAGTTACCCTGAGTACCATCATTTCAAACTGTGATTCTAGTTAATGGGACTAGAGAGCTATGAGAAAATGAAACTCATCACTGCATTCTAATTTATATCATCTTTGCCCTGATTTTATCATTGTGGAGAGCTCTGGGTGTGAAAATTCCCTTCACTGACGCAGCCAAGCAATTTTTCTGTAATTTACAGTTTCAGAACTTTATGAGAGATTAAGGACTAGCTAGTATGTGTCCAAGACAGAACTTGAACTCAGGTCTTCCTTACTCCAAGGCTTGGCCACTATTGACTTTGCCACAATGGTTCTCAGATATACCCATGATTGTATGCATCTATAAAAATGATGAAAGAATAGAGTTTGATGTATGTGAAGGTTCTTCTGAACTCTAAAGGGAAGGTCATTCCATGAATTCTTTCCCTTGTTGCTTGAAATATAGTCACCTGCGATGGCTCTGGAGGAGAAAGTGAGCTAGTGACTTTGCATAGTCGCATAGCCCTCCCTCACTCAAATCCAATTCAACTGCAAGTCATGTTACCCTCTCCCTGATGTCATGATCCTCTTCAAGAACAAAGGACAAACCACACAAACACATAGTCATCTGCTCAGAAGGATAATTGCTTGTAAGTTATTTACTAAGGATATCAGTGATTTCAAAAGGCCTTGATAATAGAGTAAACCACTTTGGAAAAACCAAAGTCCATTATCCATATATAACTTTTTCTTCTTAGTTCAACTGAAAATGAAATTTTCTCCAGTCTACAATCATTTGCAGTTTTTTTTTTCTTTAGAAAAACTGCAAGAACAAAAACTAAGGTCTTTCTTGGGAAAATGGATTTCAACTGGAAATCAAACTTAGCTCATTTCATTAAGATTGTTGCTTCCCCATCACCTGAAGTGGCCTGCTTTGTTATTCATAAAAGAATGTGACATTGGTCACTGAAGAGAAGACTGGAGAGAAATGATTATTAAGTAACCAATTATTGGGGAAATCTAGGTTGTTTTTTTTTTCCCTTCCTAGATCCTCAGTTTCTACTAGGCCAAGCCAGTATTTGAAGGACATTGCTGTTGGATGAGATTGCCCAAATTTTAGATCTTGGATAGGAGTTGTTGCCCCACCCAGCTAGAAAAACTAACAAAGAATTTAATCTAAAGTGAATTCCAGCCCATTGTGTTTCACTCAGCCAGGTTTGAATAGAGATAGATTCTTTGTCTGGATTGCCTGAGGCTGGGGGTCATCAGGGAGAGACTGATCTGTCTTGTCCCCCAACCCCTTATTAGAATAGGTTCACCTCTCATTATAATATTCATTTTTCTCATTAATTGTTAACCAATCAGAATTGATTGCCACCCTTAGGAACACCTAATCTTTCAAGGCATATAAGTGTTGAGGGTGAATGGGTTCCCTGAGGTGTCTTGGGCATTTGAGAGTGCCACTAACCCTTTTATTAATTATACCTAGTATTATTAATTACTCAGAAACTATGTCTCTTGAACTTTTTATATGTCACAAACCCTTTCAGTCTTAAGGGAAGTGGCCATGAAAGGAATACAATATTTATGGATACTTACAGACTTGAATCCAGGAGTTTTAATAGATTAAGTGACTTTGTTAACTCCAAACTGTATTTTAATGTATTATAATCTTTTCCTTGTTGAAGATTCCTATTAATATTATCTCAGATTGTCCTGGGGCAGAAAGAGATGTCCAAGGTAGCAGGACTATGCCAGTTTAGACATCTCTCTCCGTCTTCCTCTGTCTCAATGAATAAATGGACATTTAATAAGCACCTACTGTGCGCCAGGCACTGTGCTAAGCTCTTTGTCTCTTTGTTTCTGTATGTCTATGCTACAACATGCTTGGATATTTAGAATAATGTTAAATTAATAAAAATTGTTTCTGGAAGATTTGTGATTAAAATGCAGAATACATTATTAATATTTGTTTTTCTTCCGCATTTCTTCCACATTTTTCTTCCACAGCTTCCACAGGGAGCTGGGGGTCAGGGCAACCCTAGTGGCTATTGTCTTCTGTTAGCTTAGATTGAAAATGAAATTGAATGAAATTGAAAATGAAATACAGTGAGGTACAGTCATGTCCATTCATGAAGAAAATTATTTGTGTATTGTGTCTAGGTGTTTGCCAAAGAAGGGGCCAAAGTCATAGCAACAGACATCAATGAATCCAAACTTCAAGAGCTAAATGAGCATCCGGGTGAGTACTGCCCAACGCTGACCATCCTGAGTGGGCACTTTAAAAGTTTCTAACCTTTTGTTTTTTTCCTAAGGCTAAAAGTCATAGTAGTGTTAAAAGAATAATTTCAGAGGCCATCCAGTCCACCCTCTTCATTTTACAGATAAGTAAACTGAGGCCCAGGGAGATTAAGCCCAAAGTCACTTGTAAGTGGTAGAGACCTAATATGAACCCATGTCCTCCTACTCTAGAGCAGCAATCTTTACATTTCATCAGACTATGTCTGTGTACTTGAAGATGAATTGATATTAAGTACTTTGTCAACTTTATGGGGCAGCTGGGTGGCACAGTAAATAGAGTTCCCATCCTGGAGTCAGGAAGAATCATATTCTTGAGTTCAAATCTGGTCTCAGATACTTACTAGCTGTGTGATCCTGGGCAGGTCATTTAAGCCTGTTTCCTCATCTGTCAAATGAGCTGGAGAAGGAAATGGCAAACTGCTCCAGTATCTTTGCCAAGAAAACTCCAAATGGAGTCATGAAGAGTCAGACATGACTGAAATAACTGAACAACAACAACAACTTTATCAACTCGTGATAATATCTTCCAATTTTATTTTTTGTCCCCCTTTCTACATGTCTCATAGTATAACAAACTCAGAAGGATTTCTAAATTCTTGATCTATGCTTGGATTTATTGCTTTGGATATTCTAATAAATGATCAATAGACTGGGGCTTTGAAATCTTTGCTATGGAATAATTTTTATTGGAATGGTATTTGTAACAGGATTTAACCTAAACCATTTCTTGTTTCTTATTATTATGTCATTATGACCCTGGAAGCACTGATAACACAAACCTTCCGACGCTTTTTTTTTTAAAAGTTAGCATTTATAAAAGATTTAGAAAGTGCTTTACAAATGTTACCTCATTTGAGCCTCCCAACAACCCTGGGAGAAAAGTGACCCCCATTTTATAGATAAGGAAACTGAGGCAGACAGAGGTCAAGGGACTTGTCAGGGTCACCCAGGTAGTAAGTGTCTGAGGTCAGATTTAACCTCAGGTCTTCATGACCCCAGATTTGACGCTCTATCTCCTGCATCACTGAGCAGCCACGATGTCACCTAGCTATACAAATACATATTTGTGACTAATTTAAATAGTGTACAGTTTAATATCATTTCTAGTAATCTTAGCACTAGCAAAATACACTCTGTCCTTCATAGTCAACAATAATGATTATAGCCCATATTCCTATATAGCTCATTTTTAAGCCCTAATTTAGTTTGATTACCCAGCAACCCTGTGGGGCACGTAGTATAGGTATCATTAGCCCCATTTTCCAGATGAAGAAGATGGAGTTCAGAGAAATTAAATTAAATGTCTTGTCTAAGGCCAATTTGGCAGAGCCATGACTCAAAAATGTATCTACTGAGTCCTAGAATGGTGTTTTGCGCAAAAGGGTATGGATGTGAGTTTTCAGTTAATTGTGGGTTTCTCTTTTTCCCCACTCCCCATATTCTTTTGTCCAGACAGATGTTTTATAAGACAGCAAGCCTAGAACAAACTATGGCTGTGGAACAGAGGGAAATAGAACAGGCTCATTTGGTAATTAAATATATGACTTTGGTCTTTAATTAGAAGAGTCCTTTAATGAAGCTAACCAGCCATGGAATGACTAAAAGGCTCATTTAGTACACTTGTTTTCAAAGTTTTGCATCCAATCCAATGAGAGTTTATTAAATGCTTATGCAGCACTTAGCACAGTGCCAGGCACATAGTAGGTACAAAGATAATGGAGTGGTTTGCCATTTCATCTCCAGCTCATTTGACAGATGAGGAAACTGAGGCAAACAAGGTTAAGTGACTTGTCCAAGGTCACACAGCTAGTGTCTGAGGCCATATTTGAACTCATGTCTTCCTGATTCCAGACCCAGTGTTTTATCCACTATGCCACCTAGCTAGCCCTAGGTGGGCAGGGTACATGAGGCAAACTAGGCCCTCTAGGTCCTCACGTGGCCTCAAGGCTGCAGGTTCCCCATCCCTGTACTAGACTGTACTAAATTTTCATTCTAAATGAATTAGAAGCAAAGAAATTTTGCTAAAGTAACCCAAAGAAAAGCAAGACTTTCTGGAGCAAATTTTTTTTAATCCCTTCATCTACTAATCTTTCTATTCTCCCTACCTCCTAAAAATCAAATCTAAATCTCTTTGAATATCGTTCAGATGGCTTTTTAAAGACAGCTGGTTTTTCATTTCCGTGTAATTTAGAGTCCATCACACTATTTCCTTCTCCTAAGTGTCTTCTATACTTCTGCTCCTCCTATTCTCTTCTTAACTTTCTACATTCTGGCTTCTGAACTAATTAACTGAAAGTGCTCTCTCCAAAGTGTAATTGCTCAATCTAATGCCTTTTCTCAATCTTCATTCTTCTTGACCGCTTCATTATCTGAGACTATTGACCACTCTGTCCTCTAGAGGTACTCTAGTACTCTCTTCCCTAGGCTTTCATGACCCTGCTCGCTCTTGATTCTCCTCTTACCTGTCTGACTGTTTCTTCTCAGTCTCCTTTGCTGGATCATCAGCCAAGTCATGCCCAGTAACTGTCTTTATACCCCAAAGGTTTTGGGTTTTTTCCCTGGATTCTCTTCTATTTTTCTTAATATATTTTGATAAATTTTGTGTCCTGGTTTTTTGTTTCATAGGCATTCAAACTCGAGTTCTTGATGTGACAAAAAAGGAACAAATTGAGAAGTTCTCCAAGGAAATTGAGAGAGTTGATGTTCTTTTTAATGTTGCTGGGTAATTCAGTCTTCCTTGACTTCCCCTAAATTCCTGAGAATTTTCTATGTTAAAATAATTTTCACCGCGTGATACAATGGAAATTTGTCCTAGGGGGAGAGTTCTTGGGGTGGGAAGTTATTTCCAGAAATAACGGTATGTAAATACAAAAAGGCATTATTGAAAGGCAGGAGAGAAGAAAAGGGCAAAGGAGAATAGAGAGGAAAGGGAAACAGAATAGAACAAAGATTGGCCTGCTTTAACCATGGTGGACATATCCAATATGGAGGTATGGTTAGGAGGCTGGCTAGGTGGGGACTTTGTCAGAGCATTTCCATTTTATCGAAGATTCACAAGCAAGCCAGTCCCAGGCCTTTTGACCCATAGTGTGGAATACCATCATAAATTGATGTTTTAATTTAAGTCTTCATCTTTATAACCACATTTAAGCTTAGGTGATGACTTAGGGATGAATTATGATGATCATTATGCTGCATGAGAATATAATAACTGAATTTTAAAAAAAGAAAGAAGGGTACGGATTGTTTATTTTAATCACAGAATATTAGACCAGGAAAGTGCCTTGGAAATCTTCTGATCCAGCACTTCATTTTATAGCTAAAGTAACTGAGTCCCAAAGACCTGAAATGATTGAACCTAGTAGGTGGGGGAGCCAGAACAAGAATCCACATCTCAAGATTAAACTTATAAACTTATAATTTCCTGCTCAATGTTTTCCCTGTCTCAAATTTCTCTCCTCACAGCTGTCAAAGTGATATTCCTTAAGAACGGGTTTGACTATTCCACTCCCCTAATCAAAAATATTCATTGTCCCCGTATTAATTCTTAAATCAAATACAAAATCCTTTGCCTATGAATTGAAGCTCTTCACAAACTGGCTTCAGCCTCCTTTTTCAGGCTTATTACCCATTATTCCCTTTCACACACTCAACATTCCAGCCAGTTCCCCCATACCTCACCTCTGTCTCTTAGAATAAATAGCCAGCTGCCTTCAACATTCAGCTCTAATCCTAACTCTTAGAGGACATCTTTCCTGATCAACCTCAAGTTAGCATCTTCACAAAATTACATTGTATTGCCTTATACATTCTTTGTCTTCACCGAAGGGTATATGTGTGAACACTATTTTCTTCAAAAGAATGTAAACAGGGGCAGCTAGGGTCTTTTTATCTTCATCACCTAGCATAATACAGGTATTGATTGATTAATGTCCATGACACCCAACCTGTTTTATAAATTATTCCATGACAGTAAGCTATATCTCTCTATATAGATATCTGTCTCTAATGATATTAGCTAGCATTTATATAGTGCTGTACATGTATTATCTCACTTGATTCTCACAATAACCCTGTAAGGGCGGGGCTGTTAGAATTCTGATTTTACAGATGAGGAAACTGAGACTGAAAGAGGTTAGGTCACTTGTTTAGGGTCACCCAGCTAGCAAGTGTCTGAGATGGGATTTAAACTCAGATCTTCCTGACTCCAGGTCCAGAGCTCTATCCATTGTGCCAACTAGCTGTAATTGTTAAGAGCCTCAGGAATCCTGGCAAAAAACCAGGGAATACTAAGAATCTGGAAGAAATCCTGCCCAGCCCTGTCTTGTTTGGAAGACAAGAGTTCACAAAGAGGTCTTCAAAGGTTTAAAAATGCAATTAAATAGTTATTTTATGTGTATAATGGGGGGAAAAAAAGAATGAGTCCTTCATTTCATAACTACTCTTCCAGGTTCGTCCATCATGGAAACATCCTGGAATGTGACGAGAAAGACTGGGATTTTACCATGAATCTGAATGTCCGAAGCATGTTCTTGATGATTAAGGCATTTATTCCCAAAGTAAGCCTCCATCTGCCACTTTCCCAGCCCTGTAATTACCTTTGAATCGATATCCAAGGCCAGAAACCCACAGGGTGCACTTATCTCTTTGCCAAGGCCAGCACTTCTACCTATGACCTCGATCCTGCTCCCTCCATCTCATCTTGGTGTTCACATCTTCTATCATTCCTTTTCTCTCTAATATTTAACTCTTTCTGTCTCTTAATATTTAACTTTCCTTAGCTTTTAGCTCTTTCCCCATGGTCCACAAATATGTTAAGATCTTCCCTATCACATACACACAAAACCCTCCACATAGCCCTGCTGTGTCCTTAAGCCAACGTCCTATATCCTCCTCTGTCAACCTCCTTGAAAATGTTGTGAACATTTACGTCTTCCTCCTGCTCACCAGCTACTCACTTTCCAATCCCTTTGCCATCTAGGTTCTGATGCCAACAACCTACTGAAACCTCTTTCTCCAAAGTTACCGATGATTTCAACTGCTAAATCCAGTAGTCTTTTCTTAGTTCTTATCTTCTAACAAAATAGACCACTGACCATTCCCAGAATTCAGCACTCTGCGCCTAATCCCCATGTATTCATCCAAGTCATTTCCCCTGCCTAGAACGCATTCCCTCTTCATCTTTATTTCTCTTAATCTTTTGTTTCCCCCTTTAAGGATGTATTTGCTGATGTCCTCAGTTATCAGTGTTTTCTTTCTCAAATTACCATGTATTCCCTTCTCTGTGTACATTTTGTATCACTGCCCCACCCCAACCCCAATTAAAATATAGCTTCCTTAAGGACAGAGACTTTTTCCCCCCATAATTGTAACCCCAGTTCATGGCACAGTATTTCACACACAGTAGGGCCTTACTAAATGTTGTGCCGAGTTGAAATGAAAGTATCAGATCCAGCAAAATACAAGCCCTAGAGGAAGAGACTTTTTCATTTTTATCTTCGTATTCTGGCAGTTATTTTAATTCCTTGCCATACAGTAGGTGATTAATAAATGTTTCCATTCATACTTCTGTTATTTTAAAAATGTATTTTCTATCTCGTTGATCTCCTTACACATCATATCAGTAATACTGCTGAGCAAGCTGGCTAGCAATGGTTTCATATACATGCCATTCCTTTCCCATAGAAGTCAGGTGAGAAGCTATAAAGTTGCTGTCCGTTGTTGACATTTAATTAAAAAATAAAATGTGTCTTTACAAAATGCACCTTTTGCAGCTAGGGTATTTTTTTTAATCTCCAAAGTAGAATATATATCATATTATATTAACCTTGTTTTGCAGATGCTTGCCCAGAAATCTGGCACCATTATCAACATGTCTTCTGTGGCTTCTAGCATCAAAGGTAAATCCGTTGTCAATTTTCAGGGAATCATAACTTCTTATTACAAAAGGTACTGGTGTATAGCCAGCTCTCAGTCATGGTATTAAGAGACAGATGTGGCAGAGATAATAGGCCTCTGCATGGAATATAATCTCCTTGAGATCAGGGACCAATTCATTTTGTTTTTGTAGCCCCAACATCTAACGCGGTGATAAATGATTGATCATCCAGAAACCTCTTTATAGTTCATAAGGGATTTTTTCTTCCCTAAATATTAGAACTTTTACCACTGCTATGAATAAGTTGAAAAATACTTCTTTGTCTTATCTTGCTCACCTTTTGATTAAGGTGGATGGAAATTCTGGAAGAACAGTAAAGTTGGGAATAACAGAAGGAAGATTAAGCAGTGATCTAAATCCACAGACTAGAAAATTCCTGAATTATTTGTAATTCATTAAGCTTGTCTTTTGGAGACTTTGCATGTTCCCAAATCTACATTTGAACACACTAATTAGTACACTAAATTAGTACAGACTAATTTAGTAACCATATCCTCTAAGTATAAACAATTCCTCCTTGTAAGTAACCTGTCTAGTCTGAGATGGCAGTTAATTCTTTCTGACATATCAAACATACCATTTAGTAAATGGGTACAACAGTCACATAGTTGAGTGACCTGAGAACATTAACAACCTACCCCTGGCTTTTCTGACAGTCTACTAGAAACATGCTGCCCATCAAGAAATTATTGTACTAGGCCATTGGGCTTTTCCCCACTCCACATAGGGTGAGCACAGGAATTTTCTTCCTCTGGTTCTCTGCCTCCCTGTGAGCCTACCCCTTCAAGTGATGCTGCCCATGACCAATCTCAGTTTGAGCTTCACCTGCCCCAGTCCTCATGGATTGTCAGGACATCAAAGTCCATGCAATCCTAGACCCTGAGCAATGATGGAGACTCTTCTAGGACTTGGTCAATGCAATGGCTATAGCCAGAGTATAAGAACTGGGAAATATCCACGAGCTTCATGCTCCGACTGATCAGAGCATTCTACCCCTTGGTCAGGGGAGGCCCATGGAATAAGGGATGGTGTGGTGAGCCCTACAGGTGCTTGTTCACACCCATGAAAAAGGAATGGCATCCACTTGGTCCACGAAGACGGAACACAGAACCTCCTAATCAGATGAGCAGCACAAAGTGTCCATTTCAGATGTTAATTCCACTTGTTCTATCTGAGTGTGGATTTACAAATATCTCTCATTCTGTCTCTCAGTGCATTGATAACTCAACTTGACTTTGTGACATCACTTCTACCCAAGCCCTTTTCCACAGTTAGCCTCACTGGATATATATTGTCTTTTCCATCCGAGGCAAGTGGTGGTGTAGTGGATAGAGCACTGGGCCTGGAGTCAGGAAGATCTGAGTTCAAATCTAGCTTCAGACACTTATGTGACCTTGAACAAGTCACTTCACCCTGTTTGTCTCAGTTTCCTCAACCACAAAAAGCACTTAATACAGCGCCTGGCACATATTGTCACTATATAAATGCTTATTTCCTTCTTCCTATTTTCCTTTGCCTAGACCAGGCCTACACAACCTGTGTCCCACCAAAGGATTTTGGAAGGCCCTCAAACAATATAGAGGAAAACATTCTCTACATTTTTTTGTGAGCCGCAGGTCGTGTGTGACTGCCATAGACTGCCAGGAGAACCTTGAGAGGTACTCCCATTGGAGAAACTTCTGAATTGTCATTGGTCATTCTAGTCAGGATACTATTCCCATTTTGCAGATAAAGAAACTGAGTTTATATAACTTGGCCATGGTTGAACAACTGGTAAAATGATTGAACTAAAATTTTTGCCCAGGTCTCTTGAGTTTTGAAGTCCTGGTAAGGTATCTTCACTATCTTTAGGAGTCCAGATGTACTGATCTTTAACTCCTGACTTTTTATTTATTGCATTATCCTTTCCATTCATATCATCAGTCAGATCTGCATTCTCATCAATCTGGGTATTTTCTCCACAGATGGGGATCAAAGTGTATTCATGCCTACCTCTCTTTTCTTTTTTTTCCTTTTCTTTTTTTGTGAAGCAATCAGGGTTAAGTGATTTGCCCCGGGTCACACAGCTAGTAAGTGTCTTTGAACTCAGGCCTCCCTGACTCCAAGGGCAGAGCTCTATCCCCAGCATCACCTAGCTGCCCCCATGCCTACTTCTGTTTAGTGACTCCTGTTCATGTCTTCCCATGTTCTCCATTGAGAGGATGAGAGGACATCAATGGAATCTTCAGGCTAACCATGGATTACCCTTTGTTACCACCACACAGCCTGTTTTCTTTTATACTCATATGCTTCTTTGACATGCTTTACACCATTTCTCCTTGTCTGTAAAGTATCCATTGCCCTCCAGCCCTGTAAACTATTAAGTTGTAGAGGGAAAGCAAGAAAGAGTACCAAAGATGGAGCAAAGGTTTATGTACCCTCCTTCTAATAAATAGCATCATCATTTTGCTTTCTTGGCCTTCTGAATATTGGTCTTTGCCTTCAGGAGTTGTCAACAGATGCGTATACAGCACGTCCAAAGCAGCCGTGATTGGACTGACAAAATCCGTGGCTGCCGATTTCATCCACCAGGGTATCAGGTGCAACTGTGTGTGTCCAGGTAAGTGATGAGTCAGAACACTTTGCAGACTTGGAGTCTAGGCTAGGTCACAGCCTATAGAGAAATCTATATGGCCTCACTTTAAGATGTATTCTGTGTTGTATTATTGTTTTCTTAATGATCAAAAGAAGGAATTTGGTTTAAGATGAAAAAGGGATTTGGCCCACTTAGCAAATGTTTGGAATAGAGTTTTCATTATTTATTTATTTATTTTGGAATAGAGTTTTTAATAGCTATTTCCATGATCTCATCAATATGGGTATTCCCTCAACCCTGAACTTTCCATTATGATTTCTCATCTTTGATTTCTTCCTAGCTACTCTTTCATCCCCTACTATCTAGAACTATACTTAGGGTCTCCCCAACCATTCAAAAACTTCACTTGATTCTACTTTCTTCTAAATCAATTTATTTCTCCATTCTTTTCCTTCCTGATCCCCAGAATCTTCTACTCCTCTTGCCTCCATTATTACTCACCACCCATTGATTTCTCATCCTGTTGCAATATGGCTTCTCACCTGACATACTATTGAACCTGCTCTCTCACACATTGCCAATGATCTTTTTTTTATATGTATTTTTTTTTACTGAAAAAATCATTCATAAAGTACTAACATACAAAAATGTACAAAAATGAGTAAATAAGATAATGACAAAGGATTGTTTTTGTGAAAAGTGTGTGGTCTGCTGTTTGTTTGGTTTGTTTTTTTTTTTTTAAAAACATCTTTAGAGTTCAGTGCAAAAATGTACCCTGGCATCCCTTAAAAACATAAAGGACAAGTTCAAAAAACCTAGTGATGGACAAAAGTGACCTATATTTTGATGCCATTTGAAATGATGACTACAGATAAGTCTTATTTGGAGCTCCTGCTCAGCTGCAATCAGTGGAAGAACCTTTGGCAGGGATTCTAAACCAACTTGGAACCAAATAGTTTTTAACCATATAAATCTGTAACGTGGCAAAGTTTGGGTTGGGGTAGAAAAGTGACTTCCATTTTTCATCTGTCCCCTCCTCTTCAGTCTCCTGAAGGAGGGGCTCACCATTGACTGTGTAGAATTCTAGCTGCCAAAACCTCAAAGTTTTGGCTGGCTGTTCGCGTTTTTTTTTTTTTAAATGAGCCTTTCTTTTACACCATTAACAAAACATGCACTTGCCTGTATGTTTTTGTTTTTGTTTTTGTTTCTTTAACAGTCACATTCATTCTTACTACATTTGACTTATGGGATAAATGACTAAACAGTGCAACATTAAGAAATTCCACCTTTACCAAAAAAAAAAGGAAAAGAAAGAAATCCGTAATTGCAAATGAATACAAGTGATTCTATCTTATGCAATGAAATGGACCTTTTCAGGTTGTGTTTCAATCTATTCCTTCAACCCCTCCCCTCAATCAGGTGAAACTTTTGGGTCAGTGTCATCTTTCTCAGATGGTAAATATTCTCAAAAAAGAGCTTTGTTACTAATAGAAATTAGTTTAAAATCTTGGCATATACACATAAATCACCCACCACATAGAGAATATTTAAGTTAAGCTGAAGAGCACAATCCAAAATATTCCAACCCTCACATTAGATATAGTGCTTACACTTCCAGTCCTAAAAAGGGAGAAGGTAGGGTCAATTTGAAAAGGGTCTTTGAATTTCTTGGGGGGAAGGGGTGGAAGGGAAGAAAATCAAATCTTTATCGCTATATGCTCCATGAACAAAAATCCTGTGTATAATGTTCCCTCATAGAGTTGTTGTAAAGCATGTGTGTTTAAACTACTTTTCAAAAACATGACAGCTTAGCAGCTTTCTCGAGAACAGTTTCCGGTACTCTCATACGAGCTGATAAGTATGACAACCTATAATACCACATTTTCTAGATACTAATTGAGTCCCCAAGAGACAAAGAAACAAAAACAACCAGATTTGGCCAATCACACCCACAGCCCACGGGCATCGGAATCATATGTCCACGGAACCAAACACATGCAACAATGGAAAAACAGAATTCCCACGTACATACATTCTTATGTAAACCATGAAAACTATGGAAGTAGAAAGCAAACTAAGGCAAATAAAGAAAAAAGAAAACATGAAGCACTCTTCAGAGAGGATTCCCAATCACAATATATAAATAGACATTATGTTAAAAAAAAAATAATTCTGGTGCTTTCCAGAACAGCCATTTTGGGAAATTTTTTTCAGGTCCTATAGAAATCAGTGAGTTGTACACTAAGTAAATTTTTTTTTTATTAATTTATTTTCAATAATCACTTCCATATGCTTTTGAGTTTAAAATTTTTCTCCTCCTTCCTCCCCACCACCCTCCCCAAGATGGCGCACAATCTGATATAGGCTATACATTTACATTCATACTAAACATATTTTCACATTAGTGATGTTGTAAGTAGAAATTAAAATCAATAGGAAGAACCATCAGAAAGAGGAAACAATACTCAACAGAAGAGAAAAAAAATAACAATTCGGCTTCCATAGTTCTTTCTTTGGGTGTGAATAGCATTTTCCATCACAAGGCCTCTGGAGATGTCTTAGATCCTTGTATTGCCAGGAAGGGTTAAGTTTATCAATATTATTCATTACACAGTGTGGCTGTTATTGTGTAGAACGTTCTCTTGGTTCTGCTCACTTCACTCAGCATCAGACCATACAAGTCTTTCCAGGTTTTTCTGAAGTCAGCCTGCTCATCATTTCTTATAGCATAGTAGTATTCCATTACATTCATATAACACAAGTTGTTCAGCCATTCCCCAATTGATGTGCATCCTCTCAATTTCCAATTCTTTGCCACCCTAGAAAGAGCTGCTATAAATATTTTTGTACCTGTGAGTCCTTTTCCCATTTGTATAATCTCTTTGGGATATAGCCCTAGAAGTGCTATTGCTGGGTCAAAGGGTATGCACATTTTTATAGCTCTTTGGGCATAGTTCCAAATTGCTCTCCAGAGTGGTTGGATCATTTCACAACTCCACCAAAAATGCAATAGTGTTCCACTTTTCCCACATCTTCTCCAACATTTATCACTTTCCTGTTTTGTCATGTTGGCCAATCTGATAGGTGTGATGTGGTACCTCAGAGCTGTTTTGATTTGCATTTCTCTAATCAATAGTGATTTAGAGCATTTTTCACATGACTATAAATGGCTTTAATTTCTTCATCTGAGAACTGTCTGTTCATATCCTTTGACCACTTATCAATTGGGGAATGGCTTGTATTCTTATAAATTTGACTTAATTCTCTATATATTTTAGAAGTGAGGCCCTTATCAGAGAGACTGGTTGTAAAAATTCTTTCCCAATTTTCTACCTTCCTTCTAATCTTAGTTGCATTGGCTTTGTTTGTGCAAAAACTTTTCAATTTAATGTAATCAAAATTATCTATTTTGCTTTTTGTAATGTTCTCTATCTCCTGTTTGGTCATGAATTCTTCTGTTCTCCAATAGATCTGACAGGTAAACTATTCCTTGCTCTCTCAGTTTGCTTATAGTATCAGCCTTTATATCTAAATCATGAACCCATTTTGACTTTATTTTGGTATATGGTGTGAGATTTTGGTCTATGCCTAGTTTCTGCCACTCTTTCCCAGTTTTCCCAGCAGTTTTTCAAAGAGTGGGTTCTTATCCCAGAAGCTGGGGTCTTTGGGTTTATCAAATAATATATTACTATAGTCATTGACTACTGTGTCTTGCATACTTAACCTATTCCACTGATCCACCACTCTATTTCTTAGCCAGTACCAAGCAGATCATTGCTCCCCACCCGGAGCGGCTAGGAGGTGGAGGGAGAGGAGGCGCCCACACCCGCTGTCAGTCTCGCCCTGGCCCCTACCCCGCTCAGGCTGGCTGCACCATGCGGAGGTGCTGGCCATGCTCTTCTCTCTGTCCACAACCTTGTTCTACTTAGTGCGTGTGGCACCCGGTGTAGTGAACACCTACCTCTTCATGATGCAAGCCCAAGGTATCCTGATCTGAGACAACATGAGAACAGGTGCTCAGGTGTATGAGCAGGTGGTTCAGAGTGCATATGCCAGGAGCAATAGCAGTGTAAATGACTTGGATTATCCTCTTGACTTGAATCACGGTGAAACCTTCCTGCAAACCACTACTTTTCTTCCTGAAGACTTTCTGTATTTTGCAAACCGTACCTGCTCTGAAAGAGTCCCTTCTATGAAGGGACCAATAGATACAAACATGAGTGAAGTCAGAAAGGATGACATCCATGAATTCTTCTCTAGAGACTCTGCATCAAACTTGGAGGTCATTGGAAGCGCAGTGACTGCATTCCTTGTTGGAAGGTGGCAATCCTTGTTCTATTCCGAAACAGTTATGAGCATCTCCCTGTTCTTTTCCGGCACTTGATTCCTATGCTACAACACCAGCATCTGCGGTTGGCATTCTATGTTATTGAACAAGCTGGTACTCAACCCTCCAATTGTGCCATGCTTTTTGATGTTGGCTTTCTTGAAGCAATGAGAGACTTCAATTGGGATGGTTTGATTTTTCACGAAGTGGATCATATACCAGAAAATGGTCATAACTGTTATGGATGTGGGCAAATGCCAAGACACTTTGCAACCAAACTGGATAAATATATGTATCTGCTTCCTTATAATGAGTTTTTTGGTGGAGTGAGAGGCTTAACAGTAGAGCAGTTTCAGCAAATTAATGGCTTTCCTAATGCATTCTGGGACTGGGGTGGAGAAGATGATGACCTCTGGAACAGAGTACAGAATTCAGGCTACCCAGTGAGCCAGCCAGAAGGCGACACTGGGAGGTATAAACCTATCCCTCACCACCATGGAGAAGTGCAGTTTCTAGGAAGTATGCATTCCTGAGGAAGTCAAAGGAAAGGCAAGCTCTGGATGGCCTCAATAACTTGATCTACTTCTAACCCTAATCTCTATGATTCCAGTCCCATAAGTTGTCAGTTGGACTTCTGAATCTGGAAGTCCCAATGGCACCTTTAACTCAACATGTCAAACAGTTCACATTTCTTTAA